GATACTTATAATCTAAAACCCAGTATTCTAATTTAAAAAAAAAGAAAAAAAAATCAAATGCAATTTTAAATAGAAAATATAATCTGGTTCTGCTCAAAGGAAAGTTCTCCCCCCCCCCGCCCCCCGGTACAGTAAAAGGTAAAGGATTCTGAATAATACTACAATCGCTAAAAATAAAAATGCTATATGAAAATCAAAGAAGAATTGGTGGGACTCTCAGTCCATTCATGAGAGTCATGGACTCTCAGTCCATGCAAAATATTTTAAAATAGGCTACACAGAGCAGGAAGTTACAGGCCAAGCCGAGCTATTCGATAGATTATATGGTGCTTTATTTTATACTGCTAAGACTGGATGCTGCACTTGAATTTGTCTTAGAAATACGAATACTACATTATTAACGTAACAGCGTACAATTATGCAATATAACTGCTTCCCCGGCAAAATGCAAAATACTTATCACCAGTGATGAACAAGCTCCACAATGGGACCTGAAAAACTTATTTGCTCAAGTACTCTTCTTGTGTTCAAGTTCATAATTATGCAATTACAGCTGGCAGGTTTACGGCATCACGTTAATTTATTTCAGAACATATTGTGACACTTTAAAGCAGCTAAGAACACAGCATTAAACCTTATTGCTAGGCTCTTATGAAGACAACACCATCGCTAAAAGGTTCATCTGCTTTATTAAAAAAGTTTTGCAGTCTTCCTGCCCCCCTGGCTATTTTAAGTTCCTGTGACAAGTACCAGCCACGTTAGGAATTTTCGCAACATCCTGAATGTTTTGCCCGTAGAACCAGGTTTTCCAAGGACGATGGCATGGAGTGCTGTAACCGCGACCAACCTGCAGCAGGATCACCGAGGCACTATCAGTGATGAGCGCTCAGCACTGAGCCTCGAGCAGCGATGTGCCAGAGTACCTGTGCTGGGTTTCAGTCATAGAATCATGGAATGCTTTGGGTTGGAAGGGACCTTTAGAGGCCACCCAGCCCAACCCCTGCAGTGACAGGGACATCTCCAACCAGAGCAGGGTGCTCAGAGCCCCGTCCAACCTGACCTGGGATGTTTCCAGGGATGGGGCCTCCACCACCTCTCTGGGCAACCCCTTCCAGTGCTTCACCACCCTCACTGTAAAAAATGTCTTCCTTAGATCCAGTCTAAATCTATTCTTCTTTAGTTTAAATCCATTACTCCTTGTCCTGTCAAGGTTTGCTGGCTATTAACAAACAGTAGGCGTCAGAAGGTAACATAAAGCAGAGAATGTTAATTCAAAGCACTGGAGAGCATTAGTCATGCTGGATGGCCACAGTACGTTCTGCCAACATATTCACGATACAGGTAATAATAAATCTTGGATTTTCTTGGCTTCCCTTCGTCCTCCCACCTTTCGGGAAACACATGCCCAGTCACACTTCAAAAGTAACGAAAAGGAGCAGTGTTAGGCACCCAGATTAAGCAAATTCATGTTGCTTCGACACAAAAAATAAAACAGAGTTAAACAAGAAGAGAAAGTTTGTAAGCCTTACTCCACGAACTTCTCCTAACAGCACCTGTGCCACTATATGCTTCACCATCACTGAAGCGTTCATCATCAGAGTGTTTAAAGGCTGTACAACACATAAATTGGGTTGAGAAAAAGGAATACCCCGGATTAATCCTGTAGAAGCAGAAAGACACGCTAGGCTTTGTGGTTCTAAAGGTGGTTAAATAGTAGTTCAAAAGACTGGCAGAAAATTCAACAAAGTGAACATAAGGCTATAAGCAATTTAAAGGCCATTTATCACAGTAATCACACAAGTAGCTGAATGTTTTTCAAACAGAGAAAATGTAGCAAAAACATGCCTGAGAAAAATAATTCCACTGATCGTGATGCAGCAGAAAATAATTTCTGTCGAATCACGCTTGTTTGCTTTTGCCTGCCGCTTTGCAAGCATTAAAAAAAACAAGTAGTATCTGGAGCCTAAACGTCGTAACGTAATGGCATAAATCCCATTTCAAAAAGCAACACAAGCAGTTCAGGAGCATGAGTGCAATTAACCTCCAGTACCATTTAGAACCACAAGTGCATTTGTATTCTTTGTAAAAGAAAAAAAAAAACCAACCCTGTAACCTATGTTCCTAAATCCCTAAGACTTTTTGAAACTAGTCACTCTACAAATTATTTGCATGAAATAATAACAATAACAACCATAAAATGGCGTATGTAAGATACTGTAATATTAATTAACACTGTCAAGAGTAAAAAAGACCTTAGAAAATTCTTGCAGATGTGTGCATATTTATCAGATGCCACTGTGATTAAAATTTGTAAGAAGTCATTTGTGAACTTTTAGAAAGGGATGTTTTTGAAGCTATTTCCTTAATTCTGTGCTGTATAAAACCGCAGCACATTATCAATCCCTCCAGAAGTTCACAGAAATTTTCCTGGGACTTAGCTAAGCAGTACAACGTACGCCTCCTGTTTGTACATACAACAGACCCCGAAAACAAAGTGCCGAACTTATTAGCATGTTGTTACTTTATGTCACGCCGCACGTATCTGCGATTTGCGCGTGCCAAAAGCTCCCTCAAGGGAACAGTCTCCTCACCTTCTACCTTATGCATCTCCACACACAAATGTTTCCAATTAGGCAGAACTCCTAGATAAATGTATCTGAAATAGGTGGCAGTGATCCAAGATATTTACTGCTCAAATTCCTCTTTATGGGAGGGTCAAATGCAGCTTTGGGACAGCTCTACATCTAAAATTTAAAATCTGAAGTTGGGAAACGTTCTCATTTGTTGATTTGGTTCAGATAAGCTTTTTCGGAAAAAGATGTAGGGGCCCAGGATTTTGGTTTGGGTCAACTTGTGGCATCTTTATTCAAATGCCGTAAGGACTACATCATTAAAAAAAGGCCATGGCATAGAACTCCATTTCAAGCACTGCAAAATGAAGACGTCAAAGTACTTGAGCAGCTATCTCGAGCCTTTATTACAGGTTCCATAAGGGACAAGGAACAGGAGCTTAGCAGAGTCGCTCACCTTCTTCATCTGAAACATCCAGGACCTCAGTCATGGTCTCGGGTACATTGAGCTTGTGCTTCTCTGTTACCGTCTGCAAAGACAAAATCATCAATCCCCAAATTAATCACCAAAAGCAGCAGCAAAGTTGACAGCAGGATATTTGCAACAGCAACAGCAGTGGGATCTGCTGAGACATTTTATAACGTGTTTCCCCTTCCCCTAACTTTATTTTTCATCTCTACTCTAGAAGCTCCTATTCTCACCGCTGTATAAGGTAACATTTATTCTGGCAGAAAAGTACAAAAACCATACAGATAATGAGCTGGTCAGAGGAGTAAAAAAGAAAAGAAAGGTCTCAGCAAATTCATTTATAAATGGTGCATGTAGAACAATTCAGCTCAATGTTTCCAAGATGATTTTAAAATGAATTAGGTAATGTCTACAGAAGAGCTTCAGAAAGTTGTATGTGGCATATGGAAATTATTAAATCGTAAAGCATTTGGAAATGAAGTTATGAATGATGTGAAAATTTTAAACTAAAAAAAGATGTGAAGGATTTACACAAATCACTTGAAACATTTCTTCCCCCCCCCCCCCCACAACAAACCCACCACCATT